TACTATAATTATTCATCAAATATATCACAACATTTTAATATGTAAGAAATTTTTTACCATTATATTATGAGTATAATAATAATGATAGTAATAAAGGAAGCAATATTTAATGAAAATTAAGAAAATATATAACAATTTGTGAATTATTTCGGTTAATTAAAAAAATGAAAAGATTTTTTGCTTTAATAATAGACTATATAAAAAAAATTATTATTGATATAAGAATCCAGTGATAAATATAATTCAATTTTTTTATAATATATCAAACAATAAAGAGAGAGAACAATAAAGTATATCTATATTTATTTATCTACATTTTTCTAATTCTAAGAAAAAAATATTTGATACAAAAAGATTATTAAAAATTCAAAAGCTAATTGATTATTTTAGATAAATTTCAGACTATTTATAAATTGGAAAATATTTATCTAATATCTCGATGAAAGAATAATTCTATAGAAAAATCGTAAAATCGTTTAATCTTAGAAAATTTATAAATATGGAATTTTTGTAAGAATGAATTCGTGTAAAAATAATTTAGAAGGATAAGACACATTATAAATTTCAAAATTTATAATAGAATTCTAAAATTTAAAAAATATTATTTTTTTTTAATTCAAATTTAGCTTTACAACATTTACATAGATAATTTTTATAATAATATAAAAAATTACATCTTAAAATATGTGCTTGTGGAATAAATTGAACATTATTCCACATAATATTTGAAAAATCGGAAATTTAAAATAAACGAAATGATAGATTGTTGATTTTTTCTGGTTTCAATATAAGTTCTTTGTTTCCACGATTTAAATAATTTCTGCTACGAATTATAAATATTTGATTTTGTTATGTTAGTTTTATGAAATGGATTTAAATTGATATAATTTTTTATATCATAATCCATATAAATAAATTAATTAATTTCGTCTTAATATTTGGATATGCTTTTAGAAAGAATAAAAACAAAGATAAAATGCATTATAATTAATAAAAAAAATATTAGTTGTTTATATAAATATATTCACCAAAATAACTTATATTTCAAAGAATTTTTACATTTTGCAATTACTTTTTGATTGATTGCAATCCATATATATTGTAAATATATTATTTTATATTTATATATTATTATAATATAAATATATTTATTAATAATAAATATATTATTTTTATTTTGTGTTGCAATATTTTTTTGTACCATTTTGAAATAATCTAAATTTTTTAAATAAAAATAAATTATTTTGCAGATCTACATCAGCTTGTTTGAAATGAATGACTGATTGATGAATATTATATCTTTCTTTAAATTTCCAAAACCAATTTTGATTTGTAATGAAATTCGATACACCATTAATTTCTTCGCAAATTTCTTTTTCTTCGCAAATAACTTTTTTTTTTTAAATTATTTAATAATAAATTGCCTAATGCTTATTTCTCCAATATTGATGCACAATTGAAAATTAATATTTTCAATATAGAAAGAAATGATTTCTTTTCATTTTTAGACAGATTTCTTAAAAATTGTGGAATTGATGTCGTAGGATGATGTTTTTATTAATATATTCTTGGTCTATAATTAATATTCGATTTTCTTAATCCAATTTCTAATCATTCTTCTAATTCTTATCTTTCTTTTCTATTTCTATTGTAAAATTAAACATTATATTTGATGTTATTCTTTTATTTAACATAGCAAATGCAACATATTTTTCTTATGAAATTATTAATATTTTCAATTTTTATTTTTTTATTCTATATTGATATAAATGTATAAAAAATTTTTGAAATGAATCTTATCATATTATCTCATTTAATTTATAATTCATATTTAAGCTTCTTAATATAATTCACGATAATTATATTAATCGTTTGATTTATATATTAGTTTTTGTTGATAGGAAAAAAATATAAATAAAATATAAATAAAACTATAAATAAACTCACTGATTTAGCTGAATGAACATATTGTTTAATAAAACATAATTGCGCGTGTTTGTTACAATATATTTAAAGTGTATGTATGTGAAAATCAATAACTACTAACATAAACATAGTGCCACTAGTAACATTCAATATAATAAAACTACAAATAAAATTGTGCGATTTCAATTAACTTTAAATATTTTTAACAATTCTACATAATTCTGATCTCATGATTCTGGATTATTCGGAAAGTAATTTCATTTTTTTACACAAATGTCGCTAGTTGAATGTTTATTCAACCAACGTCATTCTAAACCATGTTGTTATTATATATTTTAAAAGTTGACATTTCATGATTTATTTATAAGAAAAATTCGTTTGATTCTATGCGATTGTGTTTTTCCTGTGTATTAAAAATACAAGATTAAAAAAAGCATTTTTGCATATTTTATTTTTTTATTACCGAAAAGATAAGAATGTTGTTCAGGCAAGAAAAAAATTATGTGAAATCTATAGAGAAGGTATATTAACAGAACACCAAAACTGGTTTTCAAAATTTCGTTTCGATAATTTCGATATTAAAATAAAGGCACTGATTGAAGCAAACCAACGAATAATACCTTGAGAAATTGTTATGAGATTGAATTTATCGAATTCGACTGATCACATGAAACAACTTTATTTCGTTTTGAAACTCGATATTTGGGTTCTACAGGTTCTCAAAGAAAGAGATTTACTCCGTCGCATTGATATCTGTAATTTACTGCTCAAACGTGAGGAAAATGATCTATTTTTAAAGCGAATCGAACTGGAGATAAAAAGTGATCATTTACGATAATATTAAACGAAAACAATCAAGAAGCAATAGAAAGTCGGCGCAAGGAACTTCAAAAACCAATATTCACTAGAAAAAAGTGATGTTCTCTGCTGTTTTTTTTTTTTTTTTTGAGTTTCTACCTGACAATTGTACAATTAATTTGGAAGTGCAATTAATTGCACTGGATAAACTAAAGGATTCCATCAAACAAAAGAAACCTGAATTAATTAACAGGAAAGGTGTGGTATTTCATCACTATAATGCTAGAGCTTACACGAGTTTAATGATTCGTCAGAAGTTATTACAATTTGGATGGGAGATGGTACTACATCCACTATACTCGCCAAATCTAGCACTATCAGATTATTATCTGTTTCGATCATTACAGAATTCTTTAGATGGCAAAACGTTTATCTCAAATGAGAATGTCAAAAATCACTTGGATCAATTTTTTGCAAACAAAAATCAAAAGTTCTACGAGCATGGAATCATGCTACTACCTAAAAGATGGCAACATATATTCGACTACAATAATCAATATGTAATTAAATAAAATACATATATATTATTAAAAAATATATTTTATTGTCATAAAAAAACGAAACTACTTTTCGAATAACACAAAAACATCTCTTTAAATAATGCGAATCTGCAATATTTAAGCAGACAATATTATATTTATTATTCACATCAAATAAGATATTATTATGAGATATATTACGATAAGATTTATTCCAAAAATTTTCTAAATATTTACAATATAGAATAGAAAAAATAAAAATCGAAAATACTAAAAAGTTTTAAAAGAAACTGTATCACTAACGAAATGAACTTTAAAAAAGATCTGGGAAGACTGAAACCGTTGCCGTAATAGATAAATCTGTATGTTCATATAAAAATAGCCAATTTAAATCATTCCTAGTATAGTGCGAAAGAAACTTATGAGATACCCTAATAATTTCATAAGAAAAATATATCGTATTTGCTATATTGAAGGAAAGATTGAATAAGAAAAAAATTGAATAAAGAAAATTGAATTGAATAAAGAAAAAAATATTGATTTCCAACATGAAGTATATTTTATCACTTATATTGAGATCTAACCAACTGATAATTAGCGAATTAATTGTCTCTCTTCATCTTTCAGGAAAATTATATAATATGTATAATAACTTTTTAATTGTTTCGCAGAATCATATTTCATATGTTTTGTTTTACTGATCATATACTGGTTAATTTATGATAGAAAAATCATTTAAACATGTATATTTTTTTGAACAAACAATAGAAAGACCCACTAATTAAATCAGATTTATATGACTCGCTAGTTACATATTATTGTTTATAAATTATTATATACTATTTTTGCATTATTTTGTAGTAATATATCATGTATTATTATTTTTATTTTAATAATAAAATTATTTTAATAATAAAAATAATAATAATATTAAAATTATTAATAATAAAAATTAGTAATAAAAATAATAATAATATTTTAATAATATAAATGTGTTTCCATTTAATTTAATTTCATTATATATTTTTCTTGTTAATTTTTTTTGTTCATTTTTCTTATATTGTTTTTTATAAATGTAAATAATTTATTTTCTTACATTGATTATATATTCAATAAATTGAAAGGTTATTTAACAAATTATTTAAAATAATTTAAAATATTTTTACATTTATATGTATTTTTACGTATTATACGTATTTTATTTTTACTTTATCATACTTTATCATATAAAGTAATCAACGATATGGTTTAATAAAAAAAAATTGATGTGTTAAGATTTTATCACAAATAAAACATAATATTTTTACAAGGAATTTCTAATGGAAAACATTCTAATTCTCATTAATCACTCATAATATAAAACTCATATAACTTAATTTTGGAAGAAGATTAAATTGAGCTTAACATTTTCTTTATTATTTTTTATTCTACATCTTAATTTGTATCATTTTTATTATCGATAAACATGTGAAATGACATATGATCTCTGATTATTCTTAAAGAAAAATTATTTTGAAAATATATAATTATAAATATATTGTACTCCAGATAACATGACGATAATCTTTAATCAGATTAATCATAAATGAAATGAGAAAAATATTATAATGGGTATACAAATAGATGCATTTATTCATTCTGCAATAGTATATAACAATTTAGTATTAAAAATGTAAAAAAACAGAATAGATAATTAGTAAAAAAGTGAAAATTAAAATATATAAATTAAATATAATTATTTACATGAACAAAAATAAAAAGAGTATGAAAGGTAAGCAAATATCATATATGTGGAATTCCTTATATAATGAAGTAATCTTTTTAATAATAATGATAAAGAAATATGATTATTTAAATAAACTATCTCGATGGTTTTAAACATTGATCTATTTTACTCAAAATTTTATTTCTTTGTTTCCACATTAATTTATAGATTGTATTTATACAATTTAGAAAAAAAACATTATTCTATGAAAATAATTCCAAAAAAATACAATGTAACTATAGATTTAAATAAAAAATATTGAATATTTGTAAAATTGTATTATATATTTTGTATTATATATTATATATTTTATATTATATATAATATTATATATTAATTTACATTTGCGATTTTTATAAATCTGTCTCATTTTTCTCAGAATAATTATTTGTTACAATTCATTTAATCATAATTCCAATATTTGTTGTGCTTTTAGACGTAATAATTGATAAAATTATAACAAAAATCTTAATATGGACACCAAGAACTCAATATGCTTCGCTCGCACCTCTGATTACAATCAATGAAATATTTAGTTTACGTATATTTGAATCAAAAGGCAATTTACGATATAGCTGTAGTATAATATACGCCGGTATAAGCATCATTCTATGTATTATTTATCTTTACACAGCATTGAGAAGGAATTACGAAGATTGGCCTGCATATGCAGAAATCACTTTTAAATTTTTTTTATTTATTATTGTCATAGTTGTTATGATTTTTATAATTCTTGGAATGATGAATACAAAAGTAAGTATTTTTAAAGCTATAATAATAAAATATAGTAAGAATATTATAAGATTGTTGAACAAAAATGCTATATAAAAATATTCACTTTTTGATTATTCCCAATGTGCACATAATTATTTTTAATCGTGATTTATTATATAAACGTATTATATAAAATAATTCCAAAAAAATAGAATGTAACTATAGATATAAAAAAAATCTTTATTTTATAATTATAATTAATGATGAGTAATATTTTAATCTAGTAAAAAGCTAACATTTATCAGTTATTTCTATTTAAAGTTCTATCTATTTTAACAAAGTAAAAAGTAATATTAATATAATTGTAACTTGTGATTTATGTTAGATTTTAGTAATCTAAATGATTTTACATACATATCGTGAATAATTCTCAATCTTTGCTTCTCGAAAATTCTCGGAACGAGAATTTTTTTTTTCGCATTCTTACTTAATTCTTACTTAATTCTTACTTACTCAATATAAATTTTTTTAATTTCAAATGAAAAACAATTTTTAAAGAATGGAAAATTAAAATCTCTTTAATGATTTTATATTATTAACAAAATACTGTTTACAGATAAACATTTAATCTTAATAAAGAAAGTATTAAAACTGATGCAACTATTATAAAAAGTCTCAGAATACTAACATCTATTATAATCATATACATAGAAATATCGATTAAATTTAATTATTTTTACTTTATACATCAATAATTACTTTATACATCAATAACTCGATATTATAGATAAAAATTATGTATCTAAAAATGAATGCGGTATAATTTTTTCGAAAATGTACATTTTATTTTCTTATAATTAATATTTTTTGCTTAATCTTTTAATTTTCTAATAAATATATATTTTAAAGCAAATAAAATAATGCTTATATAAGAATGACTATATTCGTTATTAATTCATTCTTGAAAAACGGATAAATATTGAATATATTATAGAATCATTTTTCTAGAAAAAATAACGAAAAAAGGAATAATTAGTTTTCAATATCTATCCTGTTAACAAATAAATAAAAATTTAAATGGAAATATATTTTTATTAAAAAATAAATTTATTCTAAATTCATTTTTGTTAATGATAGAAAATGAAATAAAGAATATGTAACAATATACAATTTTTAGTAATGAATCGGATAATGAAATTAGATTTTTGAACTAATATTGAATTATCTTTGAAAAAATATAATAAATATTGGATTTGACGAATATTTGAGGCAAACAAACGTAAAAGTTCCGTCTGTTTTTTAAATTATTTTATTAAGTCATTACATAGTATTTTATTAAAACATTACATAATATGTACTGTGTTGTAATATTTACAATAATTCAGTGTGGTAATTTGAATCTCAAAAAATAGCTAAGATTTTCGAATTATAAAACATTATGATAAAAAAATTTTCGGCTAACAATTTAATAAATAAAAATTTTAATATTATAATTTAAATAAAAATATTATAAAATTATGTAAATGATTTTTTTTTAATTTTAAAGATTTAAAGAAGGAAAAATTTTTAATTTTTTTTCTATTTTCGAGTATTGTAAATAATTACGAATTGAAAGAAAAAAGATAGAAAACATATATTGTCACGCATAATTGATTTCAATTGTAGATAATAAAGTTGATTTAATTTGATTTATAGAAATCAATAGAAATAAATTTGTGGAAATCGGAATATTTTGAATTTCATTATAGATAATATATACACAATATCCCAAAAATGTTATCTGAAAATTTCAACATTTTTTTGCAAAAACTTTCATATAATAAATTAATTATTATAATAAATTATTATAATAAATAATTATTATAATAACTTTTATAATAATAAATTATTAACAAAAAACTGAATATAATAAATGTTTTTTTATCAATAAAATTATATTGAATTATATCACGAATAATGAATAAATTATAATATTCAACATACTTTCTTAGATATATTGCTTGGATTTGTTTATGCTTAATCGACTAAAGCACGTAGCCAACGCTATATGACATAGCGAACACGGCTCGAATAGACACGCTTTGTGATTGATTACGCTTTTTGAGTGTTTCTTCTTTTTTTTTTTTTTTTTTTTAAAAACCCATTAACAAAACCCCAACGAAAGTTTTTGCAAAAAAAAAAAAAAAATGTTGAAATTACATCAAGAATCTTCAGTTTTTGAGATAATCAATAATGAATAATCTGTATGTAAAACAGCAAATGAATTAAATAAGTTTATATTTTGATTTATAGTATTTTTCAAGAAAATGAATAGAAGAAAATAAAAAGAATGAATAAAATGTAATCTCATAGAAGTTTTCGAGTTACGTATAAAGATTTGATTGTATTAAATAAAAATCGATTTATTTTATTTTTTTTTTATATATTTTTTTCTAGATAAATGATATATAATAATATATCTTTTTCTAATAAATATAAAATGGAGCAAATATTCGAATAATATTGGATTATTTAGTACATATGTTATTTTTAAAACTAAAGAAACTTTATAAAAATTTTATAATAAAAAAAACAATAATGTAAAAGTAATTCTTTTTTATAAATAAAAAATGTTCATTAATTCCTAATAAAAGATTATTTAATAATAAATAAAAGAGCAAATAACCAATCTCACGTTGTAATAGATAATAGTATTCAAATTTACCATATTTATTATGATTTTTTAAATAATTTTATTATATGATATTAGATCAATTATTATTAAGTCATAGAAATGTTATCTATTTTGTGACGTGAAATTATCTTATTTTAATAATTTTAATAATTTTTGATAAATTATCCATTGCTGTGTGTTCTATATTGTATTTGATGTACATATATGATATATATATATGTACATATAGTTCAAAAATATAATAAAAAAAAATTTTTTACAATAACATTTCTATAAAATACATAATACAATATTTATATAATAAGTTATAATATTATTATTAGAATCCACGTATAGTATTTTATTATTCTAATATTTTGCTGCTATTTTGAGCTACTCAAAATTTTTATTAATTATTTTGAATTATAAGTCTTTCAAATAGCGTTATTAACCAAAATCATAAAATCATAATTATTTTCATCTAAAATGTATAATTATATGTATTATAAATTATTTATGTAAAATCTAAATATTCGAATATTTATTTTTATTTTTAATAAAAAATTAGATATAAATATATTAAGGGTAATATATATTGATACAGTGAAAATATATATTTCAATATATATATACACATGTCTCTAATATATATATTCAAAACCATTCAGTTGTAATAATATATATATATTCAGTTGCAATAAATAGTTGTAATATAATTTCATTCATGAAAAATTCTTAAGACAGAATAGAAAAAAGAATAAACAATGCAAGATATTTGATATCAAATAATCTTACGAATATAACAGAGAAATACAAACAGAAATAAAGTATTTATTTCTGAAAATTTATGAAGTTGCTTATTGGATAGAATTTTATTTTAAAACCTTTATTAATAATTTTAATAATTTATGATCGATATACTCATTATATCCAAGAATGTTAATAAAAAAATATAGATATAGATGAACAATTCAATTTTGAATGGATTTTCACGTTAATTATTTTATATTATATTATTCTATATTACATTATATTACATTACATTTATATTATATTATATATTACAATTATATTATATTATTATTATCTAATTATGTTAAGAACGAAGATTGAGAATAATCGAAAATTTCAAGAATATTTTAAATATTAGCCTGTATTATTAAAAATATAGGATAGGATAGAGAAAATAAAAAATAAAATGTAATAAAAATAAAAATAAAATGTAAAGACACATGTGTAATATTTATTCATATAAAAATGATTTTATGTATATAATTATATTTAATTAATTATTTAATTTATTATTATAATTATTTACTAATGATTCTTTCTGTAATTAAAAAGAAATGCTAATAAGAGAGAAAATTACAAATCCCAATAACTTGAATTTAATTTTAAAAATAATTCATCGCTTCATTTTAATTTCAGATTCTTTAATAAGAAAATCAATTATTACATTGTTAAATGAAATAACAAGATATCAGTTTTTTTTATAAATATAAAGTAGTCTAAATTTCATTCAAAATTTAAATGCTATTTGTTATTGTTTATTTTTATTAATAAAAACAGAAAAAAATAATTTCANATATATATAATTCTTTTTATTTTTATAAAATTTCCACAGTTTTTATAACTTTCTTCTTTTCTGATTATTATAGCATTCAAGAATAATTATTGCGAAATGTGAAGAAATAGACAATACTTTAGAATCATTCGGTATTGAAAAAAATTATAGGAAAACTTTTCTTTTTGTCACACAATCATTAATTATATGGAGCACAACGATGTCAAGCCTTTGCTTATTAAATATATATTGGTTCACATATGAAAATGCGTATATTTTAATATACATACCAATTACAATTATTTATTTGGAGATTTTTACTTTTGTTATATTCATAAGGTAAATTATATAAAAAGAAAAATATTCATAAACTAAATTGATTAGGAAAATAGATATAATAATTTAATAGATATAATAGATTAATAGATATAATAATAATTTCCAGTTTTTTGCTAAATCCAAAAAAAATATCATAATTCTCACAAGAAACTAAAATAAATTCATAAATATTTTTATACTCTTAAACTTATATGTTCATTTGTGTAAATTCTTTTATCTTTTATATTTTTAAATTTTTGTTAAGTATTTTAATAGATAAATTGCATAAAATGAATGTGACTATAAAAAAAGTGTCGAATATAAATGACTTAAAAATAAGATACAAAATGCAATCACACATTGCACATAAGTTTATACTTGTAATGGACTATTATAATACAAAACATTTTACTCGGCATTTTCTTCAACTTATGAGGTATTACTTATTTAATAATTTCGCAATAATATAAATAAAATATTTATTATTATTATTATTAATTTATTTCTTTTTTATATATTAAAGATATATGCATTTTGAGATTCTCAAACTTTCACATGAACTTAATCGTGCCTATACTTATCAAATTCTGTTAGACTTAGCAGTACATTTTACATTAATAACGTGTGGACTTTATAATATATATTTTTCTTTTATATTAAAGTTAACAGATTTGTTAACAAATAAAGAAAATTTATTATTTCTATTATGGATTTTTGTAAGTTCAGCAAAAACTATTTTTTTAAATAATCATTGTAATAATTATTATCGCGAGGTAAGATTATTTTTTAACATATAAAATTATTAATTAATATAAAAGTAAAAAACTTCATAATATGTAATTCTCTATTTTATAGGTAGAAGTAACAGCACATTTGCTTCGAGAATTAGAAATTTGCTATTTGGATAATTCTATTAAAGACGAGGTAAGATTTACATTCATATATCAATTAAATTTAAATCTATGTATCTAATATAAATAATGATAAATCTATTATGGCATAATATATCTATTTTAATTAATAATAAATTTTAATCTATTATAATTAATATTGAAAAATATTGAAAATCATATAAAATCTAATGTAATTGTTTGCAACTATTCTTTTATGTTATTGCAAATCATATTTTAAATAACATAAAAATGACTGAATAAATTTGAATCATAAATAATTGTTCATTTTAAAGCATCATAATTAAGCGATAATTGATTAGTACATTGCAGCATTATTCACATTAATTATAATATATGAATTTTAATAGAAATTCATTGATTTAATAATAATAACTCAACTTTAACACATGATATCACATTTTTTTGCTAGAAATTTGAATGTTTTGCATAAAAAGTTTCAAAATAGTAATAAATATAAAAATCAAAATGAAAAAATTTGAGGAATTTCATATGCAATATATTGCATAAATATCATGATTTTTTTTACTTCTTTTAAATAAAGATAAAATCTAACGAATACAAATTCGAATAATATGATACAAAGTTATTTTTAATAAAACAATACTTTTAATAAAACATAATTAGGCGAATAATTTTCCTTTTTTTGCAATATCATATATTTGAGTTATATAATCATGATTGATCCATTATCATAATTATTATGATAATACATTGTATCTATAATTAAACTTTTAAATATTCAAAAAATTTTAGTTATATTACTAATTTTAATTTTAATTCATGTATTTCACACTTTAAGTTTCACACTTTGTATTTTAATTCATTATTTTATTTTCTTTTATATCATAGTCAAAAATATTTTAAATTTTTATTAATATATCGAAATTAAAATTATAATAATTAAAATTATAATTAAATAATTATAACTTATTTTTTTTGTTTCTTTCAAAATCAGTTTTTTCTTTAAAAATAAACTAAAATAAATTTTATTGAATGAGAATTACAGAATTATGTTTGTATAGAAATTACAAACATTTTAAATAAAAATAATTAAACGATTTAAATAAAAATAAAATAAAATAACTATTAAATAAATAAAATAACTATTAAATAAATAAAATAACTATTAATTATAATAAATAAATAATAACTATTAATTGATATGAAAGATTTTAGTCATCATATTTGAAATACAATTCTTGTAAAAAGATAATACTATATAGGGCAAAATCTTGATATTTCTACTTATATTCTTTAATCTACGATGTTAATGAATTGTTAATTAAATATGATTTTGACAAGTGAGCAATTTTAATATTTTGTTAAAATCCAATCTGTTCCTAGAGCTATAGAATAGTAATAAAAATAATTATTACAAAATTCACTGTTAAAAAATTCATTAACAAGACGATCAAAAGCAAAGTCCATATGCTAATGACGGTTTACCTAAGGAGTTACAAATTTGATAAAGTTCTAAGTTCAAAAAGTTCTTGAAGGTTAGAGAATTCTAAAAGTTCAAAAGATTTAAAGGTTCTGAAGATTCTGACTGTTCTGGTAGTTCTCGAGTTCTAGTTTCTAATGTTTTAGAAGTTCTGGTCGTTCAAAAAGTTTTCCCAAAACGATCAAAAACAAAATTCATATACTAATGAACGTTCACATTTATCATTAAATTCAATGTTCGAGATTATAAGTTCAGAAGAATTCTAAAAATTAAAAATTAAAAATTTTAAAATTTCGACAGTTCGGAAATTCAAAAAGAAATTTCTAAAAATTAAAAAGAGTCGAAAAGTTCTAAAATTCAAAAAATTCTCTCAAAATACTCATACCTATTGTAAAATTCCTTCCATATTCATCTCGCGAGTTTACGAGTTTTCAGTGCGGTACACTATCCAATAACATTATGGACCAACTCACTAATTGAACACTCTCAATTTAAAGAAAATTTCTAAAATGGATCTTGAGTGACAGAGCCTCTCACAAAGTCCGTTGTTTTCCTAGGAAGCTATTCCGCACGTGTTTGCAGTAATTCTTCTCAGGTAAGATGATGCAGCATCATCCTGTGCCGTTTGTTCAATTGTCTGAACACCATTGAACATCATTTATTCAGTATCTGAACATTGATTTGCCATCAAAAAAATATTAAAAAACTATTTGTTTCTATATTTATAGATAAATTATATAAAAATTACGTTGATACAAAATTATATGATACAAAATTATTCGCCATCATTATCAAAACACAGCATCTGATAATCTTTGTTATTCGTTAATAATATTTCAATAATAATAGTGAATATATTAAAAAGTGGCATTTTGCAATTGTGAGTTTAGTGATAATTCATTGATCATCAATCTATGCAGTATCGATAGATAGTACGTAGATTATTATTGCTAAGTTCTAATATACACTATAATTATACACTAATATACTATATTAATATACTAAAAGTAACAACGAATGTATTAAAATTAAAATAAAAAATAAATTATGCTTATTATATATTGTCATATTATCATTCTAATACAAATTGCATATTGTATTATTATTAAATATTACTTATTAATACGACATTATTAAATTAATATATTAAATGGTTAAATGAATGAATGAAGTGATATATGTGAACAATGCAATTTTGCAATAAAATCGATTTCTTTGTAAATTTTTCTTTGCATTTATGTCAATATTTTCTTCTATAAGTGACAAGATTTATAATCGAAATGTATCAATCAGATATAAAACATCAATAATCGGTAAATTCGAAATAGAAAAATCCTTATATCCAATCTGGATAATTTTTTAATATATTATAGAAATCAACATTTTCATCATTTTTTTTTAATTTTATTTATAATCACTACGCGGTTTTAATTTTTGAAATATTTACAAAAAAAATTATTATACAAAAAATTTTATAAATAAAATTTCTTTTATACTTCCGATTTTATATATATAATCATATCTCTATTAATATATCTTCTATTAATATAAATACGGCAGCAAGCATTTAAACATATAATAGGAATTAGTCAAAAATCTATTTGCTCATAGATTATGATTTAAAATGTCAAATTCAATACTTAGGATACTATAAATAAAATATAAAAATAATATAATATAATAGTATAATATAATCAACTTTTAAGCAATCGAAATTACAATGAATATTAGCATCATTCTTGATATTTGCATATGGTTATAACTATAATCCATAAAGAATTCATAATCCTTAAAATTTGTAGAGTGTGTAAAATTGGATTTGAAATTTAAGTCCATCATAATCTATAAGAAAGTAATTTTTGACAGTTTATTATACATTTTGGATGCTATTCGCTGCGATTGTGTGTTTATAGATAATAAAGTGGACAGAGACTAATACGCAATTATGGACATATATATAAAAAAAAATTTATTTAATAATAGCAATCTTTTTTTTATAAATACCTCGAAAACTGAAGTAGAGCAATATTCAGCAGGAAAAATTTATTAAAAAATTTTGTTTTTTACAATTTAAGCAAAAATATTATTAAAATCAGTGAAGAATTCTCTATTTTAAATAATTACTAAATATTCAGTAAACTGCATCGAATGGTTTGATCTTCATATCAAAAATTGTTTCAAAATTCAAAATATGATATATTCATATAAATGATTTAATATGAAAATAGTTAATAAATATTTAGTTTTATACTATGGATAGATAAAATTCGTTTACTAAAACTTAACTTATAATATGCTAAATGTTATGAAAATTAATAAAAATAATGATTATAAACAATTTAGTCAAAGTAAATTTTTTTATTTTAAAAAGTCCTACAATTTCTTCATTTATTGGATATTAAGAAGACTACTTTTATCACTTTTAATATCTGATTCAAATTCTTTTGTTCTAAATTTTAAGAATGCATTTATATATATCTTATTATATATCTTTTATATATCTAATATATCATATTTTTATCGCACATACAAATATCCAATGTATAAATCTTTATGCAATTTACACTGAAATCCAATAAATTGATCAATCCGCAAATAAATTGAATCCGATTGAATTCTTACAAATTACAATTTTGCCTATTATATAAAAACATTTGATATATACTATTGATATACATGATTTTATTATACATATATTATGCATGAGACTTTAAATAAATAAATATCTATTATATTTTTCCCTATAAAAAAATTCATAATTCATAATTCATGAATTCAACAAATAAATATTGAATTTATTATTATTTATTATTATTAATTTATAATTAATTTATTATTAAACTTAAAAGTTGATATCCATTAATAAAACTACTATTATTATTAATAGATTTTTATCAAATTTTATCTTTAGGTGTTAAAATTTGATAGAAAGGTGGGGAATGAAATTAATTAGCCATTTGTTACTTTTTATATTTTCTATCAAATAAACAATATGACATAAGCTAAATATTCTAGCAATTATTAATAACGCAATAAATTTTTTTTAATTTTATTCAATATGAATAAAACATACAAAAAGTATTCACAAAAAATCTTTATTATTAAATTAAGATTTATAATTATATAATAGCACAAAAACAAATATATTTAAAAATAGTGCAAATATTCGCATTAAAAATATAAATTTATAATTAATTTTTGCAACTAAAAAATAATAAAAATAAAATTAAACAAAAAATATTAATTTTGCTATTCAATCTATATCTATTGTGTAGCATATCAAATGGATGTTATAAATTACTTATTATGAATTTAGAAGATAATTCTATGCTTTCGCAACAGTGAAGATTTGTTAAAAAAATAATTGTAAATTTTATTTTAAATATGATTTTTATAATCAATTTTTTTATAATACTATATAATATTTCAATGAGTAAAAAAAATCATATACCGTTTTCTTAAAAAAAAAAATTAATTTTGTATAGTAAACATTCATTTTATTTATATTTTTTATAAATATTTCTTTATAATATATTTTTAAAAAATACTGTTTTACAAAATAATTGTAA